AAACAAACAAACAAACAAACAAACCATCCTAACATTTACAGAAAATTTATAGCTTTGTTAATGTTCTGATTATCTTTTTAAAGGCCACAGCAAATATTATATCAAATTAAAGAAGCCAGAGACAAATGCCAACCAGTGTATGATTCCTTTTACAGATACCCCTCAACTCAACAATGGCTCCACTTACGATCTTTTAACTTCACCCTGCTGTGAAAACAACAGGCACCTAGGAGAGAAACCTTACTTCAGATCGTGCATTGGGTTTTTTTTCCTGCGCTAGTGATATGCAATGTGCTAGTGTCTGGTGATGCTGGATGGTGATGGCAAACCACAGCTTGCGGCTAGCAACTCAGTCACAAGGGAATCAGCCCAGGCTAAGCTGGGATGTCAGGAAGTTTAAGTATATTCAGTGCATGTGTGACTTAAGAGTGTTTTTCAACTTAAAACAAGTTTATTAGGATGTGGTCTGATTATATGTCAAAGGGTATCTGTAGATGAAGCTTCTGAGTAGGCAAAGCCACAGAGACAAAATTAATTTGTGATTCTTTGGGGCTGAGGTGGGGGGGGTAGGAGAATGACGGCTCAGAGGTACAGGTTGTACTGTAGGGGTGCCAAAATTGTTCTAATAGCAGATAGTAGTAGCGGCTGCACAACTTTGTAAATGTGGTAAAAACTGTTGAATTCTGTACTTTGAAAAGGTGAGATATACAGTACATAAATAATACCTAATTTTAAAAATAACTTCATGCCTTGCAACTTAGACAGGTATGGAGGGCATGCCTTTTATCCAAGCTCTCTGCAAGGCTGGGGCAGGACAGTCACAAATTCAAGTTTAGACTGGGTAACTTTGTGACTTAGCAAGACCGTGTCTCAAAATTAAAAATAAAAAGGAGGTGGGAAGCAAGGGATATAGCTCAGTGCAAAGGCCTCTGGGTTCAGTCTCCAGGGCTGCAAAGTGAACAAACCAAATATCTTGGTCCTAAAGCTAAATCATCGTCCCAACCACATGGAAGGAAACTTGCCAGAGTCCTATGTAAGAATGTTCTTGCATGCAGTAGGTAGTGGGGTCCTTTCTCCCTTCCATCCCCACCCATCAAAAATCTGTACCAGTTTCTTCAGGGAGCTGCCCGTGACCCATGCTCAGCAAACCAAAGGTGTGGCTTCCACTTTGTGGCTGTCTAGGGAAAGTGTCTGCCTGGATACCTGGGCCTTGAGGGTGGGACAGAGGAGAACACAAGGAGCAATGTTTATGCATCTTTCATTTCTGCCTCTGGTCCCACAGTTCCTCTCAGCACTCGAGGCAAATTATCCTGAGTTCCTGAAGCATATAATTGTGGTAAGAGGTGAGTGCTCCGGCCAGGTCAGGAGGGGTTGCGGAGATGACGGGCAGGCCCCTGAGACCCAAGGAGACCCCACTGTCCCAGTCAACTATCCAAAGGAGCAGCTCTGCCCCGTTTCAGCCCCCAGCCTGTTTGCTGTGGCCTTCAACCTGGTCAAGTCGTACTTGAATGAGGACACACACAGGAAGGTGGTGCTGCTGGGAGGTGAGTACGTTGCCTCAGGCCTCCTTTCCAGCCTCCATAAACCTGATGGGACCTGCCTCTGAGGGCATCTCTGGGACCTGACTGGCATCAAGAGCCCACTGCTTTGTGACAACTACTGAAGCACGGTGGCATCCATGAGCCCACCAGGCAGAGGACAGTGAGGCTTGGAAGGCTTTGAGAGAGCCATAGAGATAGCACGAGGGGTGCCCTGACTTGAGGTTGGGACGTGTGTATTCGAGGATGGCTTTGCAAGTTATTGGCTCCAAATGGGATGAGTCACCTGCTCTGTCCGGGTCTCAACTTCTTCATCCATGTAGTGGGGGAGAATAAGACCTAGGTTCTTCCGTATTATATAAGCAATGCTAGACTGGGGAGATGGCGCAGTGGAATAAGTGCTTCCCTGACAAGTGCAAGGGCCTGAGTTCAAACCCTGGTTCCACAAAAAAACAAAAACAAAGACAAACAAACAAAAAGCAATGTTGTTTAGAAATTTAGAAAATACAGAAATGTATAAGGGAGGAAGTTTCTGTCATCTTCCAAAAAACTACTGGTAACATTTTTTTCAGAAGAATATGTATTGTTTTGTTATCATTTATCATGTGATAAATACATTTCCATTTTTGGTATATTTTTTATT